CCTTCATAGCACCCTCAATAAAAAGGACTAGCTCCTTCATAGCACCTGCAGAAAAAAAATTCTGGAGCCGCCACTGTTAACGTGCTATGCTTCCAGATCGTGTCAAGATCAGCAGTTCAGATCACGCTATCCAGGAAGTCAAACGGAAAAACAATGTGAAGCATTGAGAAATTTTCTAAATAAAAGTCCATTTCACCTTTTCAGTTGCTTAACTGGTTTAAAAAAGTACATAATTTCTCGTGAACACTTTGTAGCCGAGATAAATGGAACAGAAAATAAACCACAGTTCTATTTGAATACATACTGCCATGAACAGCTGAAGTCAACCTGAGGTCTTGGAATCCTATGGTGATTACGTGACCTTGTGGGAGCAGCTGTGCAAAACGCTTTCGCTGCCATTTGGCATCTCAGACGTTTCCGGTGGGAAGGGAACTTATGAGTGAAGCATGTCTGTTACTTTATGCTTCGCTTACACATCCAGTAGAAAGCCAGGGTGATACATGTAGGTGATTTTTACACTTGAACATAAACATGGATTCCCATGTAGATAATCTCATAATTGTTGGAAATTAATGAAGGTGTAAAATATTATAAAATAGTGTTGGATGACCTGCTATAAACTATAGTTAGAATGGAGCTACCAGTAATAAGACTTCACTCAGACTAGCAGTTAGCTCATCAGTCCTGTTGCATGGAAACTATTTCTCTGCACAGAAGTCACACTTTCTGATGGGTAAGAGTACATAATGATAACAGGTACATGGTAACTCTGTTAGAAATGGCTGAAACATCCCTAGTACTGATTATTTAGTTTCATCCCATTTGCTGTTTCTGGCTGTCCTCAGACTGTAGATGTGCACAACAGCGTGCTCCCTGACAGCCTGAGGTTTTCTTGTCTGTACTTGCTTGTTTTTGTGGGTTTGCACAGTTGTGTTTATAACACACACCCACAATACAGCTGCGTTTAGTCCTCATGTTACAGTTGTCCAGAATGCCAATCAGGGCCAGACCAAGGTGGCTGTCACTCAATAACGAATGATGGGCCTATCAATTATCACCTGTCACCATGGCAACTCTATCATAGAAATGCCAGGACTCCTCAGGCTGGAAAATGGAAGGAATGGTTGTCATCCATGCTCCTGTTTGAGTGTAGGCAATATTATTGTTGTGTGGTTTTTACATCAGATATGCTTTAAACAAGGATAATAATAACCCATTTACTCATTCTTCTTTTTCTGCATCCATTTACACAATTTATATGATAAATGACCCGCACTAGTATAGCGCCTCTCAGAGTAAGGGCTCCAAAGTGCTTTACACTACAGTGTATCATTCATCCATTCACACACACATTCACACACTGATGGTGACGAGCTACGATGTAGCCACAGCTGCCCTGGAGCACACTGACAGAGACGAGGCTGCCGAGCACAGGCGCCACAGGTCCCTCCGACCACTACCAGCAGGCAAGGTGGGTTAAGTGTCTTGCCCAAGGACACAACAGCAGAATTCTCTGCTGTTCTCTCAGAGCCGGGGTCAAACCGGCAACCTTCCCATTACTGGACAACCCGCTCAACCTGTTGAGCTACTGCTGTCCCATATGTGCATCGGATCTCAATATAGAGTTTGCAGTGTCATATTTTTGAAAAACAGTTTGATATGAGTCATTTGTTTGAAAATGTCAAGATTTTAATTGATTTATGTTCAGCATATTTTCAAGGCCAGTTGTTTTATTCCTACATGTAGTTTTAGATCACGAGATCGATAGGCGGATTGGTGCTGCATCTGCAGTGATGCGGGCGTTGTACCGGTCTATCGTGGTGAAGGGAGAGCTGAGCCGGAAGCAAACGCTGTTGATTTACCGGTGATCTACGTTCCTACCTTCATCTATGGTCATGAGCTTTGGGAAATGACTGAAAGAACCAGGTCGCGAATACAAGCGGTCGAAATGAGTTATCCCGCTGGGTGTCTGGGCTCTTCCTTAGAGTTAGGGTGAGAAGCTCGGTTATCCGGGAGGGGCTCGGAGTAGACCCGCTGCCACTCCTCATTGAGAGGAGCCAGTTGAGGTGGCTCAGATATCTGGTTAGGAAGCCTTACTGGTGAGGTTTTCTGGGCACGTCCAGCCGGGAGGAGACCCAGGACACACAGGAGGGACTATGTCTCATGGCTGGTCCAGGGAACGCCTTGGAATTTTCCCGGAGGAGCTGGTCCAAGTGGCTGGAGAGAGGGAAGTCTGGGCCTCCCTGCTTAGGCCACGGACCCCATGACCCGAACTTGGATAAGCAGGCGACAGTGGATGGATAGATGGATGTAGCTTTAGCTCTTCATTGGGGTTCATCAGGGATCAGTTCTTGGACAGTTACTCTAGTCTTTAAATGCTTTCAGTTTGTTTATAAAGGATTACAACCAAATGTAAGTTGTAAATAGTTGAATATTTCTATTTTTCTGAATAGCGCTGTCTGTAAACTAGCTATATTATAATTAATGATCACTTTATTACGCATTTGCAAAACGGATTAGATGAAAACAAACCTGTTGTGATTGACGGCATGGCAGCATGTCTGTAGACCCATACATGGTTTAGGTAACATAAAAAAGTGCTAATTTGATCATTTTTTAATGTTTTGTGATTTCAGGTCATACATGCTTCACTCGGATCTGTCAGAGTTCTTACCTGTCGCGCTAACACCTGCCTGTCTCCCAGTTACCAAACACAAATGACACTGACGTTCTTCACCCTCCTATGAATAGAGAATAGCATTGACAGATTGGTTTAGTAATTTTCCCAGTAAAGTAATGTTTTATAGCATACATAAAGACAGATCTGTATGGCCCACATACTGAGCACCTTTCTTCTTGAATGGATCTGCCAAGTGCTGAGGACTGGTTAAATGCTGTCAATCATTGATTTTTCCCTCTGACAGCAGAGTGATGGCTGTGGTGATTGAAGGAGTCAGGGTTTTGTCTTTCTCCCTTGTGCTGCAAGGATTCAAGCAAGGAATCCTTACACATTCTAAAGCAGCCCATCACTTCCCTCCTCCTTTTTCTCCTCACTTTTCCACTTCCTCTTTTCCTCTCTCTCTTTTAACAAATGGGCATCAGCAGGCCATGAAATAATCAATGCTGATGATCCATCTTGGAGCTTGTCGATATGTTAATGAGCACGCCTCATCGTTATTGCTGCTGGGTCATAAATCACTGCCTCTTACCAGAATGCACAGCAGCTGGTGCAGCAAACCCCAGGCCAGGAATAAAACACTGTCTTTTAACGATTAATGTCCAAACATTCTGCTGCCCTGTGCCTTGATTGTTTTCAGATGCCAAAAAAGTAGGACAGATTGTAAATCAATAAAACAATAAGACAAAGTGTTTTAATAAAAGGAGAGGTTGCGAGTAAATCATTGTAGTGCTCCATTTAGCACTGCTTCCTGGGTAAGGAATAATTGGATACCTGCTACCCAGAAGTCATTTTTAAGGTTATAAATGCCTGTGTCGGCTGGTCGTGAGAAGCAGGCTGGCTTGCAGCCTTACATTTTTCAAATCAGCTTTTTTTTTTGAGAGCCAAGCAAAGAAAAGGAAGGAAACAGTCGCTGCTTGTGTGAGCATGAGTAATGAAAAGTTAACCCATTTCCATAGCAGATACTGTTAATCAATATGCTGAGATGATGAAAACAGATGGTAAAAAGAGGGGCTGTGAATTTTCCACATATATGTTGTTATGTTGAAGCTCTTTCATTTAATATAGAACTTCTTAATTCACCATTATGCTACTGCTGTGTATGTTGGTGTGTGTTTACCTGTTGCAACAACCAACAATGTAAGAAAATACACTGATTTGTTGGGAACCTTGAAATACCTATAAGAAAACCTGGTTTCTGGGTTATACAACATCGGTTTGTTACTGATTTTTGTCTTTTTTTATAACAGTTTTAATGAGCTATTATAGGAATACTCTGCTGTTTTTCCTTGCTTTCAGCACCCCCTAGAGTCTGTTTTAATTGAGCGTCGTGAAGACAAAACCGTCTTTTTAACACCTTAATATAACAGCAAATGTCTCCTCAGCCTACAGGAGTGATTCATCACTAAATCGAACAAGTCAGCTGAGTTCATAGTCTTAAACATGCAGGAAGCATGCTGCAGCGCTTGCATGTTGGCTAGCCACTTTACTATTTCCTAATAGAGCTCCCGGTAAAGGGCTAGGGTTAGGATGACCAAGAGAGAAGGACTCGTGCCCACAGGGAAAGGCTGTAGCATGTTGGCAAAGCCAAACGTGGATTCAGAGTGCTGGGCGATCAAGACTACAAGCTGCATTAAGACTTTTATTCTTAAGTTATAATAATTCTATGGTCAAAACAAAACATGTTTATGATTCTTTGGACTAGATCTCTCTAACGAAGCAATTTCATCAGTTCTATTCTTGACAGTTTCAGTACCTTCCAGATTGAGCAGTTTCAGGGCTCTGTCACTTTAAGGCCCTGTCTACACGTAGCCGGGTATCTTCCAAAACAAAGATATGTTTCTACGATTTGGCCGGTCATCCACACAAAAACGCAGATTTACACAACAAATACAAAACTTTTTTAAAAACTCAGGCCAAAGTGAAGATTTGTATTTTCTCCATTTTAAGCGTTTGCTGTGTGGACAGAAATAACCGGAGGTTTAGGTGACCATGTGACCTGTGTTCACACTACAACATGGATGCCCCCAGAGCTGTGCATGCACTTTTTGTCCTTTAGCAATTCTACCTCCTGTTGGGGTTATTAGGAGCGAACAATTCGTAAGCTTTAACTTACTTTTGGATTCTTCAATAAATTCTGTAAATATGGAACTATTTACTGATTTATTAATTAATTAAGATATTCTTAGATATCTTCGGGGCACCACCCTTTAATTAGAAAGGGAAATGAATCCAAAACTCTTATCAGTCTTTCTTGAAGTTCGTAGAATCCTCGGAGCAGAGACTTCTCTTCGACACAACAAAGCTACTGGACACAAAAATCTGAATTTTATAACATTTAATTAACAATTTGTCAAATGAATAAACAGTGGAATAGATGAATAATAACCATGTGATATGATTGAAGATGGATGTGTTTGCATGTGATGGAGGATGTATGAATGGGGTCCTTTGTTCTCACAAAGGAGTAGTGTGTGTGTGTGTGTGTGTGTGTATGGATTCAAAATGGAGTCTTGAATACAAGATGGCTGACCCCTTTGTCTGGCTAAAGTGTGGGTGGCAACTTGCACTTTAACTTCCAAAGCACTTAGAATCAGTAGTAACTTAACCTTAAATCACTCAAAACATTTCAAAAGATCATGAAACAACACAAAAGATTAATCACGAATAATATCTTTTAGTTTAACCACGTGGCCAAGCAGAAAACATTTAAAGATACCAAACAATGATCAATAAGCAGTTTATTCTTTCAAAATGACCCGACTGACGTGTTTGGGACGAAAGAGGAAAGCACGAAGCTACTTTTTAAGCAATAGACGCGGTTTATTGCTTATTCGAGACTATAGAGGAAACGGGAGAAGGAAAGAATGAGAGAAAGAGATGAGTTTCTGATCACCAGAACAGTGAAGCGTCCCTCACTGTTTTGATTTGACGGTTCTCCGTGTTTCTCCGCAGCTTTCGGCGTCGTCCGTCGGTTTGATGCTTTCTCCGTTGTTTGGCGTTCACGAGTGTTTCTCCACGGGCTGGACAGAGACAGCAAAGTTTCTTTCTGTGCTGAGTTATAACTTACAGCGTGCTTGATGGAGTTGTTGCTTTCCTCCGTAGTTCTGTGTCCTCAAACATCAGCTGGAGGGGAGCAGAAACGAGCAGATCTGATGGGCTTGCAGTTTAGTTTCCAGCAGTTCCGTGGGCTCAACTCGGGCACTTAGAGCTTCCGCGTGCTCAAGTTGTCGGAGCGTTGACAAGCGTGTCCTAACCGCCAGGTATCCTGGGCAAAAGAACGAGGATTCTTTTGTGCTGAGTTTGACAACTTACAGCGTCTCAGAGAGCTGGATGGAGTTGTTGCTTTCCTCCGCCGTTCTGTGTCCTCAACTTGGGCACTTAGAGCTTCCGCGTGCTCAAGGGAATCGGAGCGTTCGATAAGCGTGTCCTTACCGCCAGGTATCCTGGGCAAAAGAACGAGGATTCTTTGTCTCTGCTGAAGATTTATGGTCTTAGTTCGCGGGAAAAGCTCCACGGCTTCCCGCACATGCGCAGAATGTGTTTCTGGTACTAGGCGGTGACGTCATCACAATGCTTCCGTGTGCAAAGCATCATGGGAAATGAAGTTTCTTGGCGCTGATGTGATTATTTGCTTTTCAGAGCAATTTAAGCACAGTCATTTTGGAGAAAATCACTGCATAGTAATTTCCTCATGAGGTCAGACCCTCAACACTCCTTATTGGTCCACACAAATGAACTAGGCTCAATGTGTAACGATCAGGGTCTCTCACACCGCCGATGTGGGTGGTGTGGGAGTGTAGCGTGGTTGGAAGAACCCAGATGCGGAAGAACGAGCGTTGGGGGCTGCGGCCACGCAGTTAATCTAGGATCAATGGCGCCGAACCCGAGTGTAAACAGGAATGCAGCGATGTTCCGAAAAGTAAGGAATTGACTTACTTTGAGCTGAGGCGAAATGCCTGAAGAGCTGGGAAACTCAAATAAATAGCTGGTAGGCTGGTGGGATGAGCTGGATAGCTCGGATCTCTGACATGATTCCTGAATCGATGACTGAGTGAGTATGTGGTTTGTACTTCCTCCTTTTATCAATGGCGGTGATGACGTAGGGGTAAAATAGTTGGGAGGGGAATGATGTGAAGTGAAGTTCTAGGCTGAGGATTTGTAGGTAGAGAACTAATTGGAAGATGAAGACTGAGAGGATGTGACATAATGTTTGGTGTTTTGTTGAGGTTGAGCAGGAAAGACGAAAATGATAGGATTCGGAGGACTACGGCTGCCTACAGGTCTTACATACCTATGAATGTGCTTAACAGTGCACTTGTGCGGTTACGTGTGGATGGAGTTTTTCTAAAAACAAGGTGGTGTGGATGCTATTTCTTGGGTGGGCGAATATTTGTTTTTAGAAAAAACGGCGACATGTGGACAAGGCCTAAGAGAACAAGCTGAAGCTGGCCATGCCCACCCATCCCCCACGCAGACTGCTATAAGCTGAGAAGCTCTGATATCCGGGAGAGGCTCAGAGTAGAGCCGCTGCTCCTCCAGCAGCAATTTTCTCTTGCACACAAGAGGTGGTTCTATTCTGCTCTATCTGTTTGTGACATCACAAACGGGGACTTTTTGAAACTGCTTGTTTTAGGTACACTGACAGGAACTCAAATGCAGCACAAAAGGATATAAACATGAGTTTTGCGCAATATGTCTCATTTAAGTCATGTCAAATTTGGTCTAAATGTGTGTTCTTGTTCATCAAATGTTGAGTTTGATATCCAAACATAAATATAATTAATTAGGGAATCTAATACTGAAACTGGAGCTTGTTTCATAGTAATACAAAAAATCCCTTTAAAAACAAAAACTTATAGTTAACATTATTTTTTACAAAACACAATTTTAGGTTTTGTTGTAAACAGCTAGTTATTTTTCTTGGTTAGAAGCTTGTATTGGTTTTGTGTAAAATAGAAGCCGTCTGATGTGTAAAGGCCATTTGAGCTCTTCTTAAATCAATGTGTTGCAGTTTTAATGTTGTTTATAACTCCTGAATCATGCTTAAGACCTTGTATGGATTCAATAGTGCTTCAAGATTTCACGGTTGCTTGAATAGCTGCCTCCGCTGGACCTATCGGACTTGAGCAGTTTTATGTTCTAGTCCTTGGACCTCCTGCAGATGATGAATCATACAATCATGGGTTTATCGCATCTACATAAGTGCTTCCCTCATACGAGTGTCCTCACAGTATCAGCTGTTAGAGTGCCATCGCTTCTGCAGAAACTTACTATTTTATGAAAGCAGGGCATTGTAACTTGTAGGTGTAGACTCCTTTAGTCAGTTGCATAGCAAAGGCAGGTGTTCGGTGTGGATGCTTTTTAAAAAGTTTGATGTTTTTGTTGCAGTGAACTAGAATCAGATTGGTGTTTTATCTTTTGACTGATTTAAATTCTGCTGCTTTTCTGGTTTGTAGTAAAGGAGAACATGGACACATTTGTTCACACTTTCATTTATTTTCTGCCTCACACACTTACAAATACCCCATAACAAAACTGCAGTCAACTATCCTCCTTTTATTACATGTGCAAGCGCTGGACGCTCCAATTTATTTACAGGAACTGAATTTACTTCAGACTTTGACAGCTAGAATTCCTGTAGTCTCTGCAGGGTCTAAATCATGGCTGCGTTATAGCACCGCTCTGCATTTTTTTTCCTCCCTCGGTGCTAAGTATTATAATGATGAATCTGCTACTCTGGCTTATGCCAGCTCTAGGCCGACATAGCGGTTGTTTAAGTTTTCCAAAATAAATAGAGAATATTTCAATGGAGACAGATAGCAGAGAGTAGCCTTGGAAATGAAATAGTTTGACTCGTGGAAGTCGCCTTTCAAAATTGTTTTTGTTACCAAGATAAGGAACATTAAGTCCAGATGTCAAACAAAGTAAATAATACATCAGTCGGCTGCAATAAATGCCATGTGTTGAAGAACCAAATGGAGTTTTTTTAAATATTTTTATAGCCGCCATCTATCAATTTCTGTACTTCACAACAAATCTGCATCTTCTTTTGACACATGTGTAATTATTATTTCATAATAAATATTATCTGATCACATCTCAGAACAGATGGTCTGACTGATTCTGGTTATTAGTATAAATTAATAGCTTTTTAGCAAACAATCTAATTAAAGAAATGTGCCGTTTTGCACTGGTTTGACAGCTACAGTCTGCACATCATGTCTAACAGTGGTTTACACTCAAACTAGCCTCACTGTTAGCCTCTGCATGCAGGCCTTTTACTGGAATTTTATTTTTTTTGGTTGTTTTCCGAACTTTTTTACCTTCTTGATGACAACATATGTGGCCTTCTTCATAGTGTTGCTGATGTTGGTGGCATCACTTCCGTCTGTTCACCAAGGAGCAAGAAGGCGAACAACTGATCTCCAAATAATGCTATTGGATAACCAACACAGAGCTAACCTAACAGACTGTAGTATTTCATAGAGCTAATTGCTACTGACTGGTGACCAAATAATAGAAGAAGAAACGTGAGTTTTTCTGGTATTTAAATCACAAACAACTAAAAGTTTTAATTATTGTCTTCAAAATAACATCATATTTACTTTATTTATAAATAAATCCAACATAGGTCCAACTTTTGTCACATATAACCAGAAAGACGTTCAATCACACATGGCTCCAGTTTTGTTGGGTTGATTTATTTAAGTTTAAAGTGGGTCAAAGTATTCTGCTCTAATATGAAGACTGCTGTGTTTTAGGTTATGGATACGTGATCTGATAGTCTTAATTAGAATGATTAATAATGGCACAATCAATGGAAAATGTAAATTTGGGAGCCATTTTATTTATTTATTATTTGAAATTTTCTACAAGATGTTTGTATTTATTTATTTGCATTTCTTGTCATTTTTAGCTAAATTTTATTTATTAACTCTTTTTAAAGTGATTGCAGAATCAAAGCCCCCTTTGGGGAGGGGTGTCTAAGACTCTAGAAGAGTCTTTATAAATAAGGCCATTCAACATTTTTGCTATTTTTAAACTCATACATTTTTTCTACAAAATCAGGAAAATATGGTAAATGAAGTAGAAAAAGTGGATAAAAACTACTAAAAATAGCATTTTGCCACTTAAATTTGTAGTTTGTGTTTATTAATACCCATCGTTATCCCTTACCCCTTTGTTATACTTCCATACGGGTCTCCATGAGGCCAACAATCTATTAATTTCCTAAAGCGTGCTTAGAGATGCCTTTTATTCAGAGTTTGTGATGTTAATGGAGTTTCAGGCTTATTAGGGTCCCTGGGAATAGTTGTTGATGAAAACAATCTAGAAGGAGCGAAAAATGATTTGGAGCACACAGCTGGAGTGCGGGATCAGCCTGTAGATGTTCACCATGATGAATTCTCATTGTACGATAAAGATGCTTCACGATGTACCACCAAGGCTGTTTGTTGTGGAATTAGTGTGATTTTGCTGCATTTGTTGTTGTTATAGTAAATGCTAATTAGACTCTACAACCATAATTAGAACCTTTTTCCAGACAGACTAATTTGACTCGTACCACAGTTAGAGCATCGAAAAGGCTAACACACATACACACACAATCACACTCTCTCGTATGTGTGATATCGCACATGGCACACACAAACATCTCACCTTATAATTACACTCTTACTAACTATCAGCCATAACAAATGATGGCCTTGCAGGAGCTCTCTTCTCTGGATATGTTAATCATTCCTTTGTTCTGGTGAGTGTTGTAAAGTGTGTGTTTGGCCTTAATGGGGATTGGGTTTGTGAGCTGCAAAACACCGTTAAAGCAGTTAAACTATGACTGATGCAAGCTGGGCGTGCTATGATATGGGATATTCTGTCTGTCAAGTTGTTCATCTGGCAATTGTTTTAGTTAAAGAAACCACAATGTTTGCATGCAAATTTACAAACATGTGTCAGACATAATTTTCAGTGATTGCAGACGACTTATGTTTATTACATTTGCTGTCTCCCATAATAAGTAAGGAAAGAAAGAAAGAAAACAATCTTTTATATTGCGCCTTTCAAGAGAAAAATCACGAGGTGCTTCACAAGAACAAAAATAAAAAAAATAAAAAGATTTAAAAAAATTGATAGAAAATATGATAAAGTGAGAATAAAGGAGAACGTTCACATCAGTCAACATCTTCATGCAGAAGTGATTACCACTAGTTACTTGTACTGCTGCAGACCTACATTTGTGAGACAATTACCATATTTTGATATAGAATCACACTGAATATGTCAAGGTGCTTTGGTGTAAGTAGAAGCTAGCCATTAGCATTAGCAACACCACCACACAGCAGAAGGTCCTTCAGGCCTGTGTTATTTGTGGAGATAAAACATCCACATTGCCAGCCAGTGGTAGAGTCACATTGATGTTATCTAATTTGAGGTGAGATGTCCAAATATCAAAAAATAAGACCGTCTGAAGCTCAGCTGTGTGAAGAAATGGTGCACCTCTATATTGTTTCCCCCCGAGAACGACTCACAAGGCATTCATTCCTACTAGAGAGCACTAAAATGTATTGATTAGATGAGTGAATCACACTTTTAACCCTAAGGAAAAACAAAAGCCAGACAAAGTCAGACTTTTATGACTTGACTAACATCTGGCCTGCATGGTGGCGCAGTTGTTAGCACTATTGCAGAATGAAGGTTGCAGGTTCGAAAC